TCTTCTCGCTTAAGTGGATTTTGAATGATTTGTCTTACAATTAGTTAAGAACGAAATATACTCAGTGGCATCAGAAGTGTACACCCAGAAAAAATAATTTCTTCAACTGGTTTTTTTTTGGCAATGGGTTATGAAACGATAACATTCTTATGAAATTTTATTGACAAGTGATGAAAAAAGAAATTAATAATATGTGGGGCGACCCTGCAGCTGAATACACTCCTGTATACGTCTAGGCATCGACAAAACGAGATGATCGATGTCTGATTGTGGCACCTCATTCCAAGCAACTCGAACTCAGCATTGCTATTTGATGACATGCTTTCTCACAAAGAGAATGTATACCGATAATTCCTTTCCGATAAAGAATATGAATTCATGATGGGCAACAAATAACCTTTATCTTCTATCCACAGAAGTGAAACAGCTTAAGGTATTCGTCTTGGTACTTTTCCAACAAAGCGTCTCGATGCCGCATTTCAACGGAAATCGCGATATAAAAGAGCACCCTGTATATATTAGCAGTTAAATCCGGCTGAGCGAAGCCCAACGAATCCTAGTAATCCAACATTTGAATGAAAATCGCGGAGCCTTGTTTTCTCCGGCAAAAATGGGAAATTTTATTTTCCCAACCTTGACCTTCGTCATAAATCTGTGAAAAAAATTACGCGCCAAGGGTGACGGCGTTGGAAGAATGAAAAGACCGGGAACATGGCTACCCGAAATTTTATTTGGATAGGCGCTACCCGCCTACAGGGTTTCTTTTTAGTACAGGAGATAGTGACATTTTTGCCCAGAATAGAGAAAGAATCGAGAAGGCAATTCGGAGCATATACGGGGTGAGTTTTTAGTGCGGGCTCTGTCGATCACTTTGCTTCTGCGCATAATATCTAAATAGTTAATCACAAAACTTATAGTCAATAGTATTCTGCTTACTTAGAAAGTGTTTTGATCTTGAGCGGGGTGTTAAAAAAATAGAAGAGCTAGAAGAGATAGAAGTATTTCAAAAAAAGATTGAAGTATTTGAAGGGTACAAGGGGAAAAAGCTGAATGTACAAGTTTCCTACAAAGTGAATTAAGATCTGACGGAGTACCATAGGTTCCGTATTATAAACAATTGAAAAACAGTGAAATTATAAATATTTTTTATATACAGGGTTGCCCAACAGTTATGGCAGACCAAACATTTTTTTAATGGGAAATCCTTTTTATTTTTGCATTTTGAGATTCACCTTATGGTTTTAAACATTTTTTATGTGTTAGAGTCCATACCTGAATTCAACTTTTCTTGAGATACTGAGGTTACAAATGAACCTTTCGTCATATGCGACACCCTATAAAATCTAAGGGTTAAATAACCAGCAAAATGCCGATCTTAGGTTTTACGATCTGTTCTAATTATGAGGGTAACCTTAACAGGAAATTTATTACCCAGGGCCTGTATTCTTTCGTCGTAGATTGGTGCATGGTAATTATTGTAGTCGCTACTAGTTTCGGTGGCGATCAGTGGACATTCATCTTTTTTTTCATACAATGGCTGTGACAGTCATGTTTTTTCCCCTGCACGGCAAGTTTTCAATTGGTTATAAGTACGTACTGTCATTGGTTTTGCGTGTCTTCAATACCTCATGGGATTATAGTGCCTTAAACTACATGTTGCCGGTTCTAACTACAAAACATCAAATTTGTGACATTCATTTTTTCTCCTGAACCCTTCATTTCATTTCAGATTGTATCACCTAGTAAGTAGACCTCGACAATGGACTCGTTACCGATTTTTTCTTAGGATTAGAAAATTTACATAAATATTTGTATTGGGTTCAGTGAAAAACGCTTTTTGGCGACACTTTTCATACTGTATATTCGGAACATTATTATTATTTCTACAGAGTTATTCATAGCTATGCGGTGACCCAAACCTTCATTTTTTTTATAGGAAGCATTAAATTTCATTGCACGCTTTTAAACATACTGTAAGGTTCTATTTCCAATTTATTGTACAAACACACCACTTTGTAGCTATCAAACATAAGGCATTCCTTTAATTGAATCAACAAGGTGAAGGGGACTCCCTGACTATGCGAAGAAGCTGTTTGTTATCGGGGTGGTTTGTGGGTTTCATCAGCATAAACCAATGAATGTTTCACCCAAAGGACTCATATCTTTGTATAATGACATGCTTTGTGCTTGGAGTAGGGACACTCTACAGTGCTAATTCGATATAGGGCGTATCTGACATTTGCATGAATTTTCTTTGTCGGCGTATCGCTCCCTCATACGAGCCCCTTCCCACTTCAGTTGGTCCAACTATTGAAATCTTAGTTTTTTTCTTATCAAACAAAAACATTAACAATGAATATTTTGATAATATATAGTAGAGAACACCAACTTTATCACTCCCTAAACAAATTTGCAGCATAAAAATAACACATGTTGCAATTACAGCATATCAACCTATTTTCATTTCAATGCAAAATAAGTCTATAACGCATAGGTGGCTGTGAAAAATAAAAGCCATGACAATTGTTTTTATTAATCACAGCTGTCAGAATACGTTTAAAATAGTTTTGGGTAGTTAAGGTTTTCAAAATGCGTAGAGGAAAGGTTATTAGTGAGAAAATTTGGTTACTGATAATTAATTTTTTTAATTCTGGAAACTCAAACTCAGAAGAGAAAAGTGAAATTTCCACCATCCATTATGGTCTGGGGCAGTATGTCATCAAAAGGAGTAGGAAAACTTCATTTTATTGATGGAAATGTGGATACAAACAAATATTTGGCAATTTTAAAAGAATCGCTTTTACCAGTGATTTTTTTTTTTTTTTTATATCGAAACAGCCGCGCAGGCAGAAGCCTAAATGCCGGAACACCGCGGCTGCTATGATGATCCCAAAGAAATTTTGTTAATACGATTTTTGAACTGCCCAAAGTTAGTAGAACTGGGAAAAGCTTCCTCCCGTAGATTGTTCCACAATCTAGACACCCTCGGGACAAAGGAGCGGTCGTATCGGCCAGTTCTGGATGTACGAAGTTTGACACGGTTAGGATGGGACGCCGAAGTCAGGCGGGTCTGTCTGGCAGGCACATCGCGCGGCGGCATCATGGAAGAGAGCTCTGAGGAGCAAAGTCCGTTGGTGTAGCGATAGAAAAGAGCCAGATCGCCGACGGCCCGCCGGTGCGAAAGAGTTCCGAGACTGTCTGTTAGAGAAGAGTCATCGATCAGTCGGACCGCCCTCCTCTGGACAGCATCGAGCATGGACAATGTAGTCGGGGCGGCAGCACCCCAAATGTGTGAGCAATACTCGAGGCTAGGCCTTATCTGGCCCTTGTATAGAGTGAGAAGGTCATGCGGAGAAAAGTACTTCTTAGCCCTAAACAAATAGCCTAGCTTTTTCCCAGCAGCTGCAGCTATTGAAGAGATGTGTTCGTGCCAGATCAGGTCCTCGGTGATCTGGACTCCGACCAGCCGAAATGAATGGCTCTTTAGTAGAAATCGACCGTCCATCGAAACTGTATGAGCGCTAGGACGCTTTTTGTTCGTCAAAGTACAGTACTGTGTTTTGGAAGCATTGAACTGTACAAGATTGTTGCGTCCCCAAGCAGTGATAGCCTCCAGGTCTCTTGTCAGAGAAGAAGTCGTCGCTAGTCTTCTTTTTTCCAGCTCAGCGGCAGAGATCGGCTTGTCACTCTGAATTCCTGCATGTAGAGTGCTGTCATCAGCGAAGCTGTGGATTGGGTTGATCGTGCAGGAAAGGAGGTCGTTGATATGTAAGAGAAACAGTGTTGGAGCCAAGACCGATCCCTGGGGAACACCCGCGTTGACGTTGTGGGAGTAAGAGGAGAATCCGTCAATTACGACGGATATCTTGCGGCCAGAGATAAAGTCAGCCACCCATCTGCAAAGCTTTTCTGGGAGGCCGTAGGATGGAAGTTTGCTCAAGAGGGCAGCGTGCCACAGCTGATCGAACGCTTTCGTGATGTCAAGAGCAACGACATGAGCCTCACCATGAGACTGGATGAGTTTACTCCACAGTTGCGTGACGTAAGCTAGGAGGTCCCCTGTGGATCGTTGGTGCCGGAAACCGTACTGCCTGTCGCTAATCAAGCTGTGACGTTCGAGGTAGTCCAGAAGCTCGCGATTTATGCACCTCTCCATCACTTTACTTATAACAGAAAGCAGAGCTATAGGCCTGTAGTTGTAAGGGTCGGTTTTAGATCCTTTTTTTGGGATGGGCTGAACATGAGCAAATTTCCAGTTTTCTGGGAAGGTGCCGGATTCATAAGATATCTGGAAGAGACGCGAAAGAACTGGAGCAAGCTCAGCTGCACATCTCTTCAGTACAATGGCAGGAATCAAGTCCGGACCAGAAGCTTTGTTGATCTCGAGCGACAAGAGCACTCGTCTTACGGTCTTATGCCTGAATGTTACCTCCCGCATAGTATGGGGAACCCTTTGAATTGACGGCACTTGGGCGTTGGTAGGGACTGCTGCGGACAAAAGCCACAACTCCCCCGTTCTGTCTCAGATTGGAGTGCACCTCGTAGTTTGGGAAGTTGAGATGGTTAATCGGTGCAGCCTCTGAGATTTTTGTCTCCGCCAAGAAAAGCACGGCGGGACGATTGGATTGCAGGTAGTGATGAACAGCATCAATGTTGCTGTTGATCCCGCAGATGTTCGAAAAACAAATTTTATCTTCGATGTTGTTCCCTCGAGCCCACCCTCCACCCGGACATTCCGAGAGTGGAGTGAGTTTACGTCCGGTAAACGCTGATCTTTTAGCTGTTTTTCTCCATATATTTTTAGATGTGAAATCCACTTTTGTACAGCGAGCGAACGTAAAATGAACTATTCGCACACTAAACGCTATTTAGTCTGCAAGACGACATTTTGTCGGACTTTTTTTGACTTTTTAGGTTTTTTACATGATACCCCTGCGGTTCCTTATTTTTCTCTACGTATGACCCATGAAAATCGTGATCGTCCTTTTATGTCAAAATGACGCATTCCAACCATAACCATTTCTTCATCATATTGTCAAAATCACCCACATCCCAAAAATCCAAATATGTACGAGGATGTTATGAGTCAAATCAAAGGGAGAACAGTCCAAGCCCTGGAAGACATCAAGACTCACACCACACGAATGTTCGAGGAACAAACTCATGCAGCACAGGCTAGGATCAGAACCATCGAAGATAACGCTAAGAATGAAATGGGTAGGTATATACAACTTTAGGAGAGTCTTACACTAAGGGAGGACTCATGGATACAGTTCTATATATCCGTCAAGCTTTTTATCTGAAGGTGCTACAAAAGCTTTTCTCTAACCAAACATGCAGTCGGTAATGGTACAAAACTTGTACCTGCTCAAGATATGTGTCAATATAAAAGAAACTTTAACTTGAGCCGTAAGAAACTATAGTCCAGTCCAACTAGGATGTTATGTGATAATACTGCCGTTGCAAGTATTTATAAAAACATCTCAAATTACAAATCAATGCATCCCACCCCGATTTCCACTAGGCTCCCCGCAGCGTCCACAGGTTGGTGTTATTGCCCACTTTGAGACTGATTTAGAGGAATTGAATTGAGGTTTAATAGTTTAATTATGTATAAGTACCCGGTTTGATTTCAAAAAATTCTCATATCATCGAAACCTGGATACCTAGAGATATACTAAGTGACATATAAATCCGAACACCCAGTTTAAATGGTTTTATTTTAATAAAATTTTGTATAAGTATTTAATGAAGCATAATAAGTAAATGATAAAAATTTCAAAATGATTGCACTGCTTTAAAGCCCTTTGACCTTTAATAATGTGTGGATGCACCCTGATGTGCTACGCATTCTCCAACGCGCCTAGGCATGCTTCTGATCAGGTGGTCAATGTCCTCCTGTGGTATCTCATTCCAGGCAACCACCAACTCCTCTCGAAGTGCTTCTAGAGTCTCAGGAGGACGTTGCAAATTGGGGATAAGTCGGGAGATCTTGGTGGCCATGGTAACAATGTGACATCATTATGTTGAAAGAACTCTATTGTGACTCTTGCAACATGTGGTCGGGCATTATCTTGTTGGAAAGTTGCCAGGGTGTCAAGATAGGGTAAAATATGGGGTTCTAGAACTTCGTGGATATAACGCTGCGCGTTCATGTTACCTCTGATGGAGATTAAAGGTGACCTGGAACCATAACTCCAACAGTGTGATGAACATGTCTTTCAACAAAAAACTGTGGATTCCTCCTTTCACCACGTTGCCTTCTAACCCTGGCACGACCATCGTGCATGCCTAAACAAAATCGAGACTCGTCACTAAAGACAATACTGTTCCATTCCTGATCCCAGAGTGACCGTTGTCTGCACCACTCAAGGCGATTACGTCGGTGTTCTCGAGTTAAAGGGAGGACCCAGTGTGGCCGGTATGAAAACAAGCCAAAACTTCTCATTCGTCGGTAAACACTTCGCATGCCAATAGGTCTTCCGTGTTCTGCAAACCATTCATTTGCAATGGACCTGGTAGTGGAGAAACGGTCCCTTAAGGCCAATAATCTTAGGCGGCGATCTTCACGGTCTGTTGTTCTACGGCGGCGTCCAGTTCCCCTTGCTCTTTGCGTACGGCCTTCTCGAAGCCATGCCTGACAACACCTAACCACAGTGTCTACACCTCTTTGCACTCTAACTGCAATTGCCCGAAAAGAAAGTCCAGCTTCCCGAAGTCCCACCATACGGCCCCTATCAAACTCACTAAGTTGACGAAATCGTACAGGTCTCCGTACTCTAGGCATCGTAACCGATCGCAAAGGATGTCAAGAACCAAAATCCGCCAACGTTGATTCTTTACTGCGGCTGAAATATTCATTTTTAGAGCGTTAGTGAATTAAAAGCAGTATAAAAACCGGAATGTCCAACTGATAAGGCCGAAAATTTTTTCACTTGTTATTTACAGTAAGATAAATACATTCACCAACTTTTATTAAAATAAAACCATTTAAACTGGGTGTTCGGATTTATATGTCACTTAGTATATATTGCGATTGAACCTTGCAGTGCGTGACAGGGCTGACAGAAATCGCTAGAATATCAAATCACCCCACACGATTTTGCTTTGTTCCAATGTGCTTTTCGCCAGTCAAAAGCAGGCTGCTCGTCATGGGCTAACAGATTCTACTATACAGATGTAGATTGTAACAGATTTTATGCTTCTTTTTATTCTCCTTTATATTGAACATTAAATGTAACCAACATAAGCAGTTAAGTAGCTAAGCTTCATTGTCTGTACCTCTCTTGGTTGTTTGTTATTAAATAAAGACGTTACTATTATAAGTAGCAATTATTTTTGTTGGTTAGCTAGGATACAGGCTGATTTAGATTTGAAAATGGAAGAGACTAAGAAAATCCACAAAGACGCCGTCACAAACATCAGGGCTTTCGAGAAAGAAGCGATTGCTGTCTTGAAAGACCTTTGGCAGTCTACTAGATCCAAGCTCCAAGAAATGTGTGATAATACAGCTGAAGTGGGAGGTATGTTGAGGAGGTTCTTTCGTAATGCATCTTTTCTACCCGATACGTATCTTTAATTTTTCGTACAGTCATTACCTGAAAATAGCGAACCTAATACCTAACCTAATTTTGCAGAAATTATGTATAATTACCGAGAAAGAATCAGATTTCATTTCGCCGGAATAATTGGAAATCTACTTTGGCTGTAGCCAACTATATATGAGCCATCCACAAGAGACTAACCCTTTTAAAGTAGTCTTCTGATTCTTGCGGAAAGAAGAAACATAACTGACACAAAGTCTCATAGATGGCGCTACGGTATCTCATTTCATCTGGGATAATTTTTCAGGCGCGCGAATATTGTATTAGGTTGGTAGAGTAGGTTAATTAAGGATTCAATGCAGATGCAGATACCATTTTCATCGAAACAGCACTTGAAGTGTACATTAGCCGTGACATAGACGATAAATTGTTAAATTTTCTAATAATGAAGCATTCCGTTGCATAGTAATAACATGCTTACATTGTTGCGATAAGTAATTTTCGTGTCAGTAACATGACAACATTCCTCCACGCATACAATACAGGGTTATCCAAATTAAGTGTCCACCATTGGTAACTTTGTTATTAGTAAAAATACAAAGTTGTTTAAATTAGCAAACTAGTAGCATTTTTAACGCGGGTAAAAATGAGAAATAAAAAAAAACAATTGAGAGTCGTTATTTTGATTTTTTTCAGTAAAATAAGATTTTTTTAAATGGAAACCCCTGTATATTATATTTTTTTCTATTAAAGCATCAAATTTTAAACAAAAAAGTTCATAATGACTTTTCCGCTAAAGTCAAAAATAAAGTCAAAATAACGATAAATATTTTTAATTATTTGCAGTATTATAATATTAAGACGGCTATGATGATTTGACAGCATTAAGATAAGCGACAAATTGTTAAACTGGACATACTCGCAACTAGAAGGCTTTGGAAAACAATGATAAAATCAAATAATGTCAAACATTAGTGTAAATACTTGTTTATAAGCTTTATTGTGTCATTAATTTAAAGAAAAATGTTCTCCCATGAAGAAAAGTGTGATATGTTAGAATGCTATTTAGTGTGCAGAAAATCCTCCTTGAGAGCAAGAGAATACTACAGTGAATTATATCCCGCTCGCATTCAACCGTATGAACGATATTTTCTGAGACTTTATCGAAAATTTAGGGGCAACGAAAATGTTTTTGCTAAAACAAGGGCAAAAAAAGAATTCATAATAAGCGAGGCCACGGAAATTGCAGTTATTGGATATTTTGAAGCTTATCGTGAGAATTCAATAGCAGATATTCTCAAGGACTCTAATTTCAGTTATGGTACTGTTCAAAGGATTTTAAAAAAATACAAATTTATTCCGTATAAGTACCGACCAGTTCAAACGCTTTTGGCAGGGGATCCAGAGAGAAGACTTGTTTTTTGCCATTGGTATCTTAGCTTCTGTCGCCAAAATGTAAATAACTTTCGTTACCTTTTATGGACAGATGAATCAAATTTTTCAAATTCTGGAATGTTTAATAGAAGAAACCACCATTATTGGTCAAGAGAAAATCTTTTGTTAGTACATCCAAGAGGCCCACAAGTCCGTTTCAGTTTCAACGTTTGGTGCGGTATAATTGGTTCAAAAATTGTTGGCCCGTTCTTTTATGAGGGAACCCTAACTGGTGAAAGATATGTGGAATTTATGTCAGAAATTCTGACTAATTTCTTAGACGAATTGGATCTTATAAGTAGACATCATCTGCATTTTCAGCAAGATGGCGCACCTGCCCACAACTCCAGAGGTACTTATCATTTTCTAAGTACTACTTTTAATGATCAGTGGATAGGAACAAATGGCCCAATACAGTGGCCTCCCAGATCACCAGATCTAAACCCACTTGATTACTTCTTGTGGGGTTACTTAAAGAACCAAATTTACAAGCGAAGGTACGATAACCTTGACGCGTTAAAGACTGCAGTTAGGGAAAAGATAACCCAGATAGATGGTAGGACCATACTTAAGACAGTTCGAGCAGTTGAAAAACGTGCCCAAAAATGTATTGAAGAACAAGGTGGTGTTTTCGAGCATCTTCTTTAAAAAAAATTGTTATTGTATTTTGTAAGATTATAAGTTGATGTTGAAAATAAAGTTTGTCGATACAATTTAATTGTTTCAGATTGGAGGCCATAACTTCAACAATTTGTAACCTAGGAGAAAAGTTATTGTAAACTTTTTTGTTTAAAATTTGATGCTTTAACAGAAAAAAATATAATATACAGGGGTTTCCATTTAAAAAAATGTTATTTTACTGAAAAAAATCAAAATAACGACTCTAAATTGTTTTTTTTTTATTTCTCATTTTTACCAGCGTTAAAAATGCTACTAGTTTGCTAATTCAAACAACTTTGTATTTTCACTAATAACAAAGTTACTAATGGTGGACACTTAATTTGGATAACCCTGTATATGCAAATATACCGGGTGTCCCGAAAAAAGTGTGTAATATTCTACCAGCGGTTTCTAGAGCTTAAAATAGGAAGAAAAGTTTATATAAACATAGGTCGACAAACGTCCCCTAAGGGCGCTACGGTCTTTTAAAGGGGCTCCCCTGATGATGGTTTTTCCTTAATATTTCCGAAACGTGTTGAGATAAAGAAATAAAATTTGGTATTCTAGCCTAGTTTTTTATGCTGGATTTAAAAATATTAACAATTTTAGACAGTTTTTTTTGGAAGCGTATGTGACAGGGATGGACTCAAGTTTTTTTAGCCCCAAAAATTTTGTGTGATTCTATTTTTGAAATTCAATTTTAGAATTTGAAAATCTAGGATTTTCTACATAAAAAGGTACTCTTATTGAATATCGATAAATTTTGCCATTTTTGAATAAAATCAAACTAAAAAATTTGTCACATGATAGGAAATGTACTGCGAATTTAAATGAATTCTTGAATAATTATCCATAGCAACGAAAAAACTAATTTGATAATTGGTAAATATTACATAAATACATATTTCTATTGCAACATAGCTAACATTTAGGCAAAAACAAAAGAAATAAATTTTAGGAAAACTCACAGGAGAGCTTTTTTATGCAGAAAAGTGCGAAGAATCAGTTTTTTATTCAAAAAGCAAAAAATTGCACTAAGAAAACATTTTCGGTCATTTTAATACACTACAGGTACAGTAGAGAGCGCCCTCTAGCGGCTACAGTAAAACTATGCCCATGGTTCGTTTTGTCGTACCGAAAAACCCTTTTATACCAATGTTCACTGTTATACATCAAATATTGTTCGAAATATTTAAAAAAAACTATTTTAGAAAGTAAATTTAAACACCCTGTATTTCGGAAGCCACGCATTTTTCGACCCATGTTTATATAGACTTTATGCATTAATTTTAAAAGTTCTATCGAATCTTAAAGTTATGCAACAATAAACTGAAACACCCTGTATATACAATAAAGTTCCAAGTAACATCTCGGAGATTTGTGGCTCAATGCCCCCCCCCCCCTACTCTCCGCTGCTAGGGCCTAAATTTGCACGCCACTAATTTATTAATTAATTACAAAAAAAAGGAGGAAACACACCAACATTTCTTTTTGTTTATAAAAAAGGCGTAGCGACTTTATCCGATTTTTTATAACAATACGTCACCTTTGAACTAGCGGCTGCCCAGTGCACAAGTTGATACTTTACCGATTTATTTGACATTGTATAGTTTCTTTACGTAATATCTCTACCGCCGTTTTTTTTATATTGCTGCATCAAGCACGAATATTTCTGTCCAACATCCGCTAGGAGTCGCTATAATCGCGTACATGGCGAATAAAATGATCTCTACTGAAAAAGCTGTCTAACTTTATGTATTTCAAATTAGCAGGGAGCTTCGTGACTACAATGACCAAAGATATAATTACAAACACCAACGCGTTGCTCGATAAGCTGATCGCAATGATCAAAAGCTGCGCAGCATCTGCAGTGAACACTCTGGATGCGTATCTGAAGGATAGTACGGGAGGAGCTACATCTAGCAAGGAAAACGAATGTTCAAAGGATACTTACATTAATCGTCAATAAAGTGCGTCTATTCATCGGTAGTTTGTAGTTTTATTTTGTTTTTGTTTTTTGTTTAGTATCTATGAGCTTCAAACATTTTTCCACCATGTCTTGTCAATGAGTTTATGTGTATTTCGTAGAACTGACCATTTCATGAACATCGCTGCCATTTTAAGAGACGAATTACTATACTAACTTTTCGACTACCCAGCATTATTTTTCAAAGACCAAAACGACATTGAAATTTCGCAAATTCCTATCAGCTCAAAAGGGATACTCCTAAATTTAACCTCATCCTAACCACCCCTATCCATTTGCAGAACAACAATATTTACTCAGTAATTACGGAGCTGTCTATGTACACACACACCAAATTAAGATGAACTGCTTGCGTTCGGAAATTCCAAGACTAGTCTGACACAACATTAGCCATATTAAGCTTGCATCTGCATAGTCCACAGCTTTTAGCAACTGTAATGATATATTCGGATTTGTTCAAACTTAACGGAGACCAATTTGAGCGCCAAACTATTGCTGACGTTTATTATAACCATTGATTAAACAAATTTCACCTGAAGATAGCCGACCTAATGCTATATTCACACGTCCAAAAAATTAACCGTAACGTCGTCTGTGAAGATTCGTCACAATTTTAAAAAGGTTGGTGTTTCACAGATGGCAACAGCATTAGCATATGACAATATGTGGCGGAATGACTCGAAATATTTTACGACGGTCTAACTACCCAAAAACCGACCAAATAACATTGGATGATGGCCGCGAAAGCCTTTGGGACCGTTCAAGTATTACGTGAGCACTATGGGGGGCGGGGGGCTCTTTGCTTTGCTTATTTTGGATGACATGGGGGGTAGGGGAGTCTAGATGATGATTACGTCATCGGTAGTTATTTACTTTTTTACACGAATGGCAACCCTCACATTGTCTTTGCTTGAAAACGAAACGCATTTTCGGGGATTCCCGCAAATAATGCATACGTTTAGTGAACAGCGCGCGGTAATTCCCCTACTCGCTTTAGAACCGAGTAGGGGAATTACCGCGCGGTGTTCACTTGTCTAAATTTCCTTTATCAGTGTATTGTTTCGTTTGGATACGTATTGTAAGCATAGTAAAGCAAGTTAACATTTGTGTTACCATTGATTCCATTGGTCAAAGTTTAATGTTTAAATAAGATGTCGTTTCACATAGACAAATCCAAGTTGTACCAAAAATTGTTTGAAAGTTTTAAAAAATCTCATACAAGTACAAAAGTACAAAATGTACAAAAGTTAGTTAACGAAGTGTGGCGAAATTACAAATTACAAGCAAAATCCGACAAGGTACTAGATATTATTGTATCTAGGAGAATCGAAGAAGAATTGCAAGCGGCGACTAAGAATAACTCCAATCTGCTAAATTTTTTTTCTAAGGTGAGTGACGAAATCATTTTAGGAACCTATGAGTACTAGAAATATTAGAAATCGCCAAAAAGTTTCTCTTTACTGATTAGAAAATATTATGGCCTATCTCAAAGTATAGAGGTAATATTCATTATATTATAGATTTATTTCTTATGATTGATTCCGTCAATTGGTCACAAAGTACAGGATGTTAGTTTTCTACATATATACAGAAAACTAACACCCTGTGTTTTGTGACCGGAACGAATTGCTCGTTTAAACATATTAGATTTAAAGCCATAGGGTTTTGTATTTACCATATATATTGCCATACTTTGTATTTATGTAGCTTAATAAGAGAATCTTTAGCAGAAGCCATAGAAAGTTTTTATTTTTAGGCAACCTGTAATCCTGCAGAAAAAACACAAATCATACAATCAGCTTCAAATATTAAAAAAGAGGAAGAAGATAAAATAAAACTCGGTAATGAATCACAACAGCAATGCGAAATTAATGAAAATACAAATAAACAAAGAGCAAAACCTTCTAAGGAAGCTATGAAAAATAAGATTGCTCTATTCGAAAAAAATCTGAATGCTTTGTATTCTGCCAGAGATACTATGCCAAGCCATGCTGAAGTTGATAAACAGATCATTAAGTTGCGCGAAGAAATAAAAACAGCAAAACACTCTTTAAACAGGAAGGTTCAAAACGCACTTGCCCAGAAGAAACACAGGGATGGTATGAAAAGAAAGTTATTTGTGATGAAAATCCAGAAATAAAAAAAAGACTATCTCTGAGGGATTCAATGGGACGTCCTAATCTTGAAAGCAATCAACATTCACTATTGAAAACAATCGCGGATATAGCTTTATTTGGGAGTGAAGCAGATGATAGAAGACGAACGGAATCGATTCGCAGCGTAAAAACTATTGATGAGCTCGCACAAGAATTACGTAAAATAGGATTTGACATTAGTCGCAGTGGGACAAATCTTCGTTTGATTCCCAGAAAATCTAATTCTGCAGAGGGACGAAGACATGTATCGACAGTCCCTGTTAAGCTCATTCGGGCTCAAACTGATCACCACAAGAGCAAGTTCGCTGAAACATCAATCCATTATTTAGAGAACATAGCATCCATACTTGGACCAGATCAAGTATTTTTCATATCTCAAGATGATAAAGCTCGAGTCCCTGTTGGCGTAACTGCGGCAAATAAGCAAGCACCTCTAATGCACATGGAATATAGAATCAAATTGCCTGATCACGATTGGGTAATCGCTGAACGTCATAAATTAATACGATCTGTTAATGCTGGTATCAAAATCACTTCCAATATGCTAGTACAACTGCAAGCCGTTGGATATTCTGGACCAACATACATCGCTATTCGAAGTGGAAAGCATAGTTCATCTACTGCTAATACTCATGCTCAGGATTTCGAGACGCGTCTCGAACTTGAAGAGTTTCGACCATTAGCTAAAACTGACCATGGACTAGTAAAACCAGTGGTAATCATGACGGTTGATGGAGGGCCAGATGAAACTCCACGTTATTAAAAAGTCATCAGGGTTTACTATACAACACTAGCGACATGATCTCGATGCATCATTGTTTTTAGCTACCAAAGCTCCTGGAAGAAGTGCGTATAACACAGTAGAGCGCAGAATGGCTCCTCTTAGTCGGGAACTGACTGGTTTAATATTACCTCATGACCACTTTGGGTCTCATTTCTATGAAAGTGGCGTTACAATTGATGAACGTTTAGAAAGATCTAATTTCGAATTTGCAGGAAATGTATTAGCTGAAGTATGGAGTTCAATGGAAATTGATGGCTGCAATGTTAATGTAAAATATGATCGGGCAGGTGAACAAGATTTTCCTGATTTTCCAGACATTAAATGGTAGAACATGTGCGTGAGAACCAATACTGGCTTCAAATTGTAAAATGTAGAAATACAGAATGCTGTCGTCCAAGAAGTGGCCTATTTAGATTACTAAACAATAGGTTTCTTCCACTCAATGCTTCACTCAATGATTTCCTGCAAATGCCCTACGATTATTTTTGGCCGACGGTAAAATTGAGGCTATCAAGTCGAACATGCAAAACGTGTGGTCTTTATCATGCTTCCGTCAAGTCACTAAATCGTCACATCGAAAATATCCATAAAAAAGTAAACACGCACACTGATAGGAAAGTTAGACCTGTAAGAGTCGCTGCTCGTCGTGCTAATGAACTGATGTACATTATTCAACATTTAGAGCAGCATGATGTTGAATGGCTCGATGAGAACGACGTAGATATTCCAAAATCCGATGAAAGCGAGCAAACTCACAACACTGAGCAGCAATCGAAGCAATCCAATGTCATCGAAAACTTAGAATCATGGGTACGGGTTTCATGGACTGAAGACTGTTAATTTGAATTTAATATATGTACCAAAAATTCAAAATAGATTTGTTATGTTAGTAAGATATAATATTTTTGTCCTTTACTCTATGTTGAATAGCGAATCAGTAAAATATGATCTCTATCCTAAATCTATTTTCTTATTTTTCAAATTATAATTATAACGTTATAATTATAATATTAAAAAAAACAATACATTAATTGACAAATGTTTACGTAAGCATGGGGGGAGGGGGCAAGAGCTTTGCTTACTTTTGCTGACAAGGGGGATGGGGAGTGAATAGTTGTAATAAATCTGCTTACGTAATACTTGAATGGCCCCTTTCGCATTTCATTTAGTCAGAGACAGTTTGAAACATAATTGTGTCTTCAGTTTGAGTGCTAACTTTATAAACAGTTCAACATATTTCAGTATGGAATATTTTCTTATAAACTTTGAGGCTCATATGTGACCGTGTAAAAATGTCCGCTCTAAATATGTATACACAAGAGTATAAAGAAATCTTGAAAAAAATTGTTTTCTTCGTAACAAAAGGTGATAGACACATCCGCTTTGTTTTAACATTTTAACATAATAACGTATGGTTTTCGAATATCGTATCGAATCCGTTCAGTCACTCATATATACGAAATGTTTGAATTTGTTTAAAAGAAAAAACGTAACCCTTCGGTTTTTACATAAAAATAACAATTATCTTTCGGAATGGATTGTGATTCACATCGGCAAGGTACATTTGTGTATTTTGCTATAAAATTCGCGTATATTTTTGCTATATCTGTAACGAAGCATTGCCAGTCGCTAATAATGTATAGCATATTTAATTCTCCATTGCAAATTGCAACTACTTCTTCACCATATAAAAAACCGAGACGGCAAAAAAACTTGCTAATGAGTGTTTGTGCAGTTGTCTGCGATTACAAATCCGGGAGATAATAATTGAAACAAGAACAGGTAATTACTTGTGTACATATTTAATTTAGCTATAAGAACAGACGCTGATTGCTATTCGCGACCGATAGTTGTCTAATTGGATTGGATCTTAAATGTGCGCGAGCTTAATACGGTTGAAGTTGCCCAGGACAGTGTACTTGTATCAATATTAAGTAGTTTATTTTAATTGCCTGTATACATATTATTAAGAGATAATCATGTTTAGACAAATAAATGTCTTCTCCATCAGGGCTTTGCTACAAGAAGCTAGAATATTTGTATAGACTAGGAAGTCATCTAG